TTTGCTATTTAGCTTTCTCTTTTCCATCCACTGTGCTAAAAAATAACTGAAGTGTAAAAATGAGAGCATGAATTTCGATGATTTGATTCTCTGCTTTTACCCACTGTGTCTACAAAGTTTCTTAGCATGTAATAGGTGCTTGGTGAACATGCTAAGTGAAGAAATGTAAGTTAGGAGTTGTATTAATATATTTTGCATTATTACAACAAAATGCTTGAAGTATGAACTTCACAAAGATAAAAGATTTATTTAGCCCACAGTGTGGGAGCTTCAAGGCTATGGTACTTGCATTAGCTCAGTTCTGATAAAGACTTAATGGCAAATGGGAACTCGTCAGGCAGGACCACCTGTCATAGTGAGCACATTTCAGACCAGGAAGCTGAGAAGATGACAGGTTTCATACAACCCCTTCTGAAGGCATGCCCCCACTGAGCTAAGGACTTCCCACTAAACTCTACCTCTTAAAGGTCCTTACCACAGCTTGAGGACCAAGTTCCCAACCCATTTGCAGGGGACATGGAACATATTTTAAATCAGAGCATGAGTAACTTCTGGGCTTTTAGAAGTGTATCCTTTGCTAATATCAGTCGCAATCTTGGCTCAGGAATCTGTTGATGTCCTTCTACAATGAGAACAAGTGCAGGGAAGAGGGAGTAAATAATTCCACACAGCATGAAGCAATAGAAATCACACTGTGACACAGACCTACAAAATGCTAGCTTCTAAGAGACTGTGGAAGCCACATCACTGGACAGAGCCTATTCTCAATTAAGCACTAGTGGCAGTTGCATATGCTAGGTATGTAAAAGAAAAATGAGGCTAATGCCATGATGAATTTCTAAACTTGACCAGTTGTACATGAAAGGAGTAAAACCTCCACTACCACTCGTCCCGTAAAAAGAGACAGAATGCACAGGTGGAGTATTCACCCACACTACCATGTTGAAATAACAGTGCCATATTTAACTTCTTGATGGAACGTTTTTCCCAAGTAAGCTTAAGTTCATAGGCCACAGATTCCACATATCTGGTTTAGATTTTTCTCCATCTGTCTTGCTTCACTTGGATTCTGTGCATTTCTGTTATGGTTTTGGTAATACTAAGTCTTATGTGTATCAATAGCAATTTGCTTAACATATCTGCTCTAAGAACAAGAGATTAAATGTGGTAGCATCTTTTGCATAATTTTTTGGGTCCTACACATCTACTGTACTTTGTTAAGGTGAGTGATATCAGATATTGTTGTCAAACTTTCTGAGGCCCTATGGAACCTGTACTCAGCCCAGTAAGAGACTGTCCAGGCATTGTTGCCAAAGGAGTTCCAGCTCACAGAAGTACCAGAACTCCTCTTGTTGAGACAGAGAAGACTATGGAATAATGAAAGAATATAGTAGCCCCCAAATGGAAGCTTTTGAATTTTGATTCCTTTGGATTCATTTAAAAGAGAAAGATAACAATTACAGACTTTAATTCCTTTGGACCTCAACTTATTTTGACTTTAATGTGCAAAAAGATTTCATTTTTGTAGTTCAGTTTCTCCTTACATAATTGTCAATAGAGGAAGAGTTATATTCAAATGAGGGACATTTCTATATTATTGGGATTTTATTCTATAAATGAATTTTTATATTATATTATCAAATACTCAACGTGTCATTTATTTTCACTCAAGAATCTTTAGCAGGATAAATTAGATAATATGACAGACATAATTGAAATGGTAAAAAGAAAGAGGAATTATTTTCCAGACTGGTTAAAAAGAAAAAGGTCTTGGAGGTGATTTAAGTAATATGCTATTTGTTTTTACCCATTTTGCAAATCATTGGGGACAAAAATCTAAATTTTGTCCCGCTGGTCCTGAGAAGATACACAAGAAGGAGTGATTGGCTGTGAGAGGATGATCTTTTGAGAGACAATCTGTGTTAGTCAGCTTGCCATTACTATAAAGAAATACTTGACACAAGATATGCATGAAGAAAAGGGACTTATTAAATTTGTGGTTCTACAAGCTGAAAGTTCCAATGGTATAAGAAGGTTATATGGTAAGGGTATAACCTACCTATTGGGTATATTACCTCATGACATGGATAACAATCATGGGACCAAGCAAGTGATTAGATCTCCAACCAGGAGCAGCGAGAAAGACTGGGGTCCCCCATCCCTTCTGAGTACATACCTCCAATGATCTAAGGACCTCCTGCTAATCACCACCTCTTAAAAATCTAGACCATTTTCCAATACCATCATCAGGGGGATCACATTCCCTACAAACATTTCAGGGGACGCAAATATTATTCAAACCATAGACTGTTCCAGTAGATAGCTGATGAGATCTCATCAGCTATGTACTGATTCTAACCCAATCTTCATCATAAACAAATGGTTATGTATTGACTTAAAAATTGATTTAAAAAAAAGTGATTCAAACTCAACCTTCATCATAAACAAATGGTTATATATTGACTTAAAAATTATCTGGAGAATGATGTATTTGTGTGGGAAGGACCAGTCCTTCTTTTCTAATCCTTCATGTTAGTTAAATGTGGAGTGGAATAATAATCTTGGTTGACCTGCATCCCTTCCTTGTTTCTCTTATATAATAGAAATTGTCTAGTTTGGTAGAAATTGGAACAAGGTTCTTGAATGGAGAATTACACACTTCAGCCTCTTCCCCATGACTTCTTCTTTGGTGCTAACTGCCAGAATGAAGTGTGTCATTCTGTCCTCCCCTTCCATATTGTAAATTTTATAGGGAAACTCCCGTAGTGTAGAGCTGATGTTTTTAATTTGATAAAACAAATAACTAGGAAAGTCCTAACTGACTCTTTAAAATGATGTGGAACTTACCTCAGCAATGCTTGAGGTATCTTCAACTCTTACCTGTAGCTATGGGACTGTTTTAGCTCCACGGCTACACTTAATTTACCCCACTGTGTTACAGAATGTTTAATCTCTACATCTCTAGATCATTGGCATTTCTAATAAATCATGGTTTTTACAACTATTCTTGGTCTCATAATTGATGAGTATTGTTGGTCAAACCCTCCTGATATCTCTAGGTTCAGAAAGCAGAGGCAAGAACTATTTCCCAGGAAGTGAATTTGAATTCATCAAGGCCCTTACTTAGTCTATCACCATCCACATATAGAGACATCTTGTAGCTTCTTTGTGCTGTATGGAAATGAACCAATCCCTAAGCATGATGGCACCTCCACTTTGGAAAATTTTAGCTCAGAGAAGATTATGAGGAAGATGCTGTCTATCTTCAAGCATTTAGGAAAGGTTTGTAGATTCCTTGTTCCAAAGAGTTCCAAAAGAAGAATAAATGAGTGGAAATCACAAGCTGGAATACTTTTATTTAAGTAAAAATTAACTTTCCTACAATTACCACTGTCTTAGCATGAAATGAACTACCTCAGTAATAGTAAACTGCCTTGGATCACCTCATGGTGATATCATCCAAAGAATTCCCACTCAGGCTACAGAGTCAGACCAAATACAGTTAAACCATGAAAATTATGGATCCATGAGAATTTTCCCCATAAGCAAAACACAAGGAAATTTGAATTCAATTTTTTTTGGAGAGAAAATTTTAATATATTTATCTTATTATACATTTCCCTAAATTACAAAGTCAACAGCTGCAAATATATTCTGCTACAAAGCTTTCTGTAAGAAATATCTCTATAAGAAAATACATCTCATTAACATTTCCTGTAAATAAATTACTTCAAATAATAATTTTGAAAGGGTGAACATAAGGGAAATAATGCAGAAACCATATTGTAAATGTAATTGCTATTTAGGAAATGTTTGACTGAAATGTTCCATTTTCATGTCACTAAGCTTATATAATTTGTTGACACAAAATTTGGCTCTTGATAAATTAGCTTATAATTTTAGTTTTTGCAGACATGTGCAGAAAATGTAAGTCTTCATCATCCTAGTAAATGTGTGTGGGAAGCTGAAATTCTTAGTAGATATCCATGCTCGGATTCAATTTCTACCAGGAGAACTTAAATTTGAGATTGCAGGTGGGGTTTAAGTAAAAGAAAATTAAGGTGTGACTTGCATTCTATAATAGTTTAAAATAACAACTATAAGATAACTTTATTCCTTTTATGCTGTAGACATAATATTTAGAACTGGTTAAAAATAAAAGTAGCAAAGTGGTTTCGAAGAATTTAGAACTGTGGTTTCTATAGGTTAGCAATATGTAGATTTTACAGGTTATTACTTTTTTTCAAACCTCAGTGGCTGCAAAACCAGATACTATATCTTTGGCAATAAAAGGCTGTTGCAGAGAGAGGTTGGTGCAGAAAAATTAGGTAGCAAAATCAGATGGTTTATTGGTTGATTAGAAGCTTAAGAGGACAAGGAACCTCATGCACTGTCTACCTCATGAGTCAATTCTGTGACATACTCATAATTAAGATTCTTTTAGTACCTCAAAAATATAAAATAAATATTTTGAGGATAGGAAAGGCAAGTGAATTCACACTGAACTCATCTGCATAGTAAGGATTCTAATGGAGAATCCCATGGAGAAGTTCCATGTAGGTTTGCAGTCTCTGGTTTCAAAGATGAAACAAAGTCAGCTTGTGCTTCAGACATATGATGTATATTTATATAGATCTATGTGTTGCCCAAAGCTGGACAATTGACAAAGCTTTCCTCATTTCTTTACTGTGCTTCAGTGCAATATAGATATTACTCAAGTCCCTATTATCAGCTTCACTCTAGTCCTTTGCAGAGCATGTAAAAAAAGAACCATATTTATCAATCTAATACTATCAAAACTTAGAGTGTGTCAAACTTTTCAAAATAATGATGTCTCCATTAGCTTCATTTCCCACATATTTTGGATATCTTTAAACATTTTGCAATCTGTGAAAACTCTTCTCTGTGCATTTATTGCACTAGTCACAACTAATGGATACAGTTTGGAAAGCCAAATGTACTCAGGGTAGGAATCTTATACAATCAAGAGAGATGCCATGTCATTCCTTCAGAATCAAGGAACTGTTTTTTATTTGTGCATTTAATTATACATAAAAGTGGGATTCATTATGCCATATTGCTGCAAGACAGATCATATTAAGGAACTGTTTTTTATTTTATATCAGTTCTTATTAATTACAAGTGAAGTTAAATTTTTGAAAACAATGTAAATAAGCAGTTTGAGGAAGAACAAGTTTGTTTTTTCCAAAGACCTTGATGAAAGATCTGGCGTTATTTTGAAATAATTTGCTTTTTTTTTTCTTTGTCTACTCAAGGCCTTTAGTTGAGCATTCGAAGTAGAGTAGCAAATTAAAAAGTGATTCTCTTGCAAATTAACTCTGCTTTATGTTTTCAATTCCTGTTTATCAATTCTTTTCGTGTTTTAGAACTTATACATCAATGTAAACTGGGAGTATTTTGTTAAACTAGAACTTTGAAAAGAAATGTGGATTTTAGGTTATTTTTTATAGGCAATCACCAACCTGAAGGAACTCTCTCCTCCAGCACAACCTAAACTCTTGGAAATTCATAAGGAATTCAGTAATTTCCACTATGTGCTTTTTTCCTTATTAATAGCATTTTCACAACTGTGTACATTATTTACATAAACAAGTTGCATAATGGAAGCCTGCTGGTTGCGCTGAGTTTGACACCCTTCCAATTCATTCAGTCCTCTTTCCTTTCTTTCTTTCTGTGGTCTATATTCTTATCACCTTTGTCATCTACACCATTCTTATGCATTCCGAACTTTATTTTCCACCATGCCATAATGCGTTAAATACATGAATTCACAGTCTGCTAGTGGTGATTTTCCTCAGTGGTGATCAGATTTTCTGACACACGTGGAGTCTGGCTTTGGAAGAGTAGGTGGCATCCTTCCACACTTTGCAAGACAAGCCTTTTGCACAGTCACACCGCTGGAAAATTTCCAGCCCATGAGAACCCTTTTTTCGCTGTTTGGTACAGACTTCGCCCTGATGGAGTACTGGTTTGCAGATTTTGGTCCAGAAGTGACGAGCACAGCAGAACCCTTCAATGCAGTCTGATGATCGCAGGCAGGGGTCTCCTTCATGCCCTGCAGAGACCACCACCAAAAGATATCACTTTGCAATCTGAAGCACATAAAATACTTTACTTATAGTATCTTATACAATTTACAATGAAAAGTCTTGGATTCATACCATCTGTCTCTATCTGTGCTCATATAAATCCATTATTGTCTATTTCCATTATTTGCTATTTGGATATAAAACTTAATGATTAGCCAGGATTGTGCTTCATCTCCCCTTTACTTTACGATGGCCTACTTTTAGATAGTTCCCTGATCATTGACTATTTTTTTTCCTAGAAGGTAAGTGACAAAAATGTAAAATAACCGATCTCAAACTAACTTTGAGATCTACAAAGGAAGTTTGTTCTTCTTGACAGATCAGAACAAACTTCTGATTCAAGGAGAAGGCTGATATGCTCAGGGACTCCTCTTAAGACTACTTATCAATTACAGTCAGGAAAACAGAAACTTTGAGTGTTCAAACCAGAAGATATTTTATGCATAGAATTGGTGACACAGTAATGGTTGAGCTAAGAATCACCAGAAGACTGTGAGAAGCTGCTACTACCACATTTAGGCTGGTTGAACCAAAGGAGGAGGTGATGTCAGAATCCAGAGGCTGGATTCAGATGCTAGCCAAGGCTGGCATCCTAACAGGCCTACCTGTCAGGAGCTAAAGCGACAAGGAGACACAGCCCTGCCAGAAATACTACCTGAAGCAGTAAAAATGGGAGAATATGTTGGCTCAATGAGCCAGGTGAATCTGACAGAGAGCCCAGGCAATGCAGTCTACAAAGAGCTGCGACACAGAGCAGAGCAGAGAAAGGGCAGTTAATCCATCTGAGAGCAAACAGGCTCCAAGGGGCAACCAAGGACCCCTTAT